CTGGACAGATGGGAAAGATGGTCATCTGAGTGGGTGCCTACTTAGCGGTAGCCCCTACCGACGAAGGGGTTTGTCTTTGGGAACCCTAACCGGAGCCTTTGACTCAAGAGTCTGACCCATAAGGCAGCGGGGCGTAAATTCAACGCAGGAGCGTCAACGAAGCACCCTTGTGGGAGCTTCTGGAGACCTGTCACGCAAGGCCTTTGCATTTCGATTAATTGTGTTGTTCGCTGGTGCGTTCATTTTCGGTCCGCTTTTCGGGATCAGCCGTCAGCCTCATGCACTCAATGAGACAAGCGGAGCGTGGACGGGACAGCTTCTTATTGGCTGGGGGCTGCCCGGCTTGGGTGGGCGGTAGCTGTCTAATGAAGTGCGAAGACTTCTCCCACCGTCGAGAGGGGCCCCCGGTACCCCACCCCTAGGTCCATCTAGCTGGCGTTTTTTGACCGGTAAACTGCTCTTCACCGTGTTCATTTGCTGGAGTGACCTCTCCAGGGGCGGGTGCGTATAGAAGAAAGAGGCCAGGGGGTGCCCAGGCAGCTGGCTTTGTGAGACTGACTTTCGTCTGGTCTCTACCCGTTGACCTCTCAGGCATGATTGGATGTGCGACTGTTGGGAGCCATCCTATATAGCTCACAGGGTCATTGAGGCACACAAGCCATCACACCACGTCATGGTACAGTCTCGTCGGATGGTTTCCATGGAGCACATAATAAGAACACGAAATTGGCAAGCAAGGTCTTTTTCAGTGCATCTTAATCATAGCATATTAATTATTCCGTATCTCAATCACTCAGGGTAATACTGATGGATACGCTCAAATAGAAGCCTATTCGTGCGGCAACGTACTTTGCTCCACAGGAGCAAGTGAAAGAGTAAACACAGAAAGAGTCAGCTGAATCTGGATTTCTATCCTTTATCCGTAGATACACTAACGGGCTAGTTGTAGATCGGGTCTGGAACTTGGATGCGTAGAACGTTTTGTTGAACATTTTATACGTTTTTAATTCACTAAGGTCAGTGGAGCAAAATAGAACAACTCTCTCAATCAAGCTGAGACTAGCTTGTTGATTTTACGTTTGAGGTTAGGGATGTTAAACCGTCAATCTCCCAGTATATCGCACCTATTAGAAGTCACAGTGACCACTATGCTCCCGTTTTTCGGCAAGCTCAAACCAACCTTATGCCTAATAACGTCCGTCCTGACAATATATGGTTGCACCCCCGGTTTATCGCACTTCTTAATTCCTATTGATTTGGTCGTTGACTGATTTGCGGGCTGGTCATTAAGCGACATACACTGTCGCATTCAGCTAATGACGTTTCGCCTCGTGTGATACGTGCTTGGTGCTGTTCGCCATCGGGATTATCCCGGTGACGAACGCACACGAATGTCAGTAGTTCCAAGTGGTGTCGTGAAATGTAACAGTGTGTTAGCACCTATCTATCAGGGGAAGCAAACCGTGTGGAAAATGCTGAATCAGCCAGATGAAACCCACGTCTAGCAAATCACTTGATGTTTGAAGCAAAACTGTTCATGTTATTATATCCAACCTAACGATTATTACAGAATTTCAAGAGGGTTATCCTCTGAAAACCAAAGAATAGTTCAATACACTTAATGCGGCGAACTTGGCATGTTTTGCTGACTGGAGAAAAGCTATTACCACCAGCTACTGGAAAATTCAAAACTCCGCAGCGTTTCTGTGCTTGAGATGTCATATGTCTGTCCAACAACTACATTGCTTCTAATTATGCACCGATAACTTCAGCGCTATTCCAAGATGGTGTCTCAGGGACGCTCTATCTGATTAGTTGCAGTCAATGCCCTTAGCCATAGCTGTGGTCACCAAAGCCACTGCCGTATGTGCGTACGACTAGTCCAGCTGATGGGAGCAAACTTTCATTGATCAGTTGGGTCTGTCTCATCAAGGTGGCGTTGCCAACGGGTGAACGATTATTGCGATTAAACGAGTTGGTAAGGGATGGGGGTACGAAGTAAGATGTTGAGATTCAATCGATCGATCGTACTGACGCACTTGTGCGAAGGTGTTATCAATGAATATAGACCTTACTCTGGAAAAAGAAAAGGACAAGTAACTAGATTTCTTAATTCACTGCGTCTGTCTATCATGTTCAGTGTTACACGTACGGGACCGATGAGAGNATAAGAAAGGAATTCCTGTCGCGATGTAAAAAAGATAAACGTAAAGAGATGGACCTTATTACTAAACAGTTAGACAATAACGAATGTCCGAAGGAGTTTATCGAAAAAATTAAACGCCGAAATATAAATCCACTGCAGTTAACTACGCCGATAAACGATTGGTTGCCAACTGTTGTGATTCCATATAGTCAAAACACGTCCAAAGACATACGTCGGATACTAAACCCTGTCAAAATGAGGGTTGCGCTCAAAAACGCTAACCCAATTTACTCAAAACTGGTTCACTTCAAAAATCCGCATACAAAAGAGGACGCTTTTGAATTAGTCTATAGAGTACGTTATCTAGATTGTCCTTTATGTACGCATGTCAGCCTGAAATACAGAAGCTTGGACAACGGAATAACTGAGCAGATGCATCTGACGAAGAAGAATCCAAGTAATGCAGCAGGTTGGAATCGAGTGGAACACAACTCCTCAATTATATTTCGCCTGTTCGCCGAGCTTGGCAATTTGTTTGCAAACGTTTCATCACCAGCCGAGGTGACATCATTGGTGCTTGTGAAGCGAAATAGAGTTCAGTTCACCCGAGCTACGGGAACCAATTTTCAATACTTTGTCAACGACTCCTCAATCGCTGGCTACGCAATGTGCGAAGGATGTGCGGTTGATTAAAAAAAACGCATATTCTTAAGTGTTGGTTCAGAAGTCCCAAGGAATGTTCGGTAGCCGAAGCGCTCCTGATCAACGCTGAACCAACGGCACGCAATCGATCCGATGGGACAATAATTCCACACTTGGGCATATACAATGGTATGGTCAGCACCCAACCAATAGAGCGAAGAAAATATGCACGGCGGACACCATTGATAGTTAAATTCAATTCTAACGTATTGTTTCTGCACACAATAGCTTCCCAGAAAGATTTATTGATAAGACAATGCTAGGATACGGGGAACAGGCATAAGAACTAGGGTCCGTTAAGAAGTTGGCCTATGTGCAGCTACCGTTCAAGGGAGATACAGAGGTGCAAAATAGTATTCAAAGATTGCTCTCGAGTGCAGTAAGTAGAACATTCCACGCTGCACAAGTGAAAGCTGTATGCCCTTCTAAACCGATTTTTTCCGACTGAAGGACAGAAAGACAGATTCTGCAGCCTCATACACCTGTTCCTTTGGGACTGGGTACATTGATCACACGACCAGGCTCTCATGCAATCGCGTTGGTGAACACCACCTGGTTTGACTGAGGACAGGAGCGATCAAGACAGTTTCGAGCGCAGTGTGTTCGCATCCCGTACAATCCAACCACTCGGCGGATGTAAATAATCAATAACAGTGAAACATCGTATCCAAATCACGGTCGAAGACTTAAGCATTCGGATTCACATTTCCCCCTTTTGTGACCAGAAATAATTCGTGTCAGCACTTAATCTCCCTTGACCCACTTCATCCACTCCGTGTCTGGGTCATGCACTGCGTCAATCGTGTGTTAAGCTTAGTCAGTTCCTAAACTCATGACGTATAACAGTGGCGCTGATGCTGACCATAACGAATATATCAATGGGTTTCGGCATGCGACAGCGACAACAAAAGCGAATGAATAAATGGGTGTCTACAGACACCACGGTACATGTTTTTTTGCAGGAAAAGCACAAATAGATTGCTCAGCGAAGAATAGGAGCTCGGAATACCGAAAAGAAGTCGATGTAATACGTATGCATTGCAATAGATGTTCCACTTATTCCGATTACTTTATTGTTTTCGAATGTGATTTCATCAACGAAATCAGCATTAAATTATGATTTACTTTGCAAGGGCGAAAAGGTAAGCAATGTGTGATTTTTATGGCACACTTGATGATCAGCTCGAAGCCCATCACCCTTTGGTAGGGTACACACAGCATTTTCGCTTCTGCTCGTTCCCCACTTCGACGTGCTTTTTTTAGCTAACTTTCAAAACTAATGTACCTCTGTCGATAATCCNATCCTTTAGCCAAAACCCGAAATGCTTTAGCCAAAACCCACATTCCTTTATCCTTGACCTACATTCCTTTAGCCAAAACCCACAATCCTTTAGCCTTGACC